AGGTGTTACTCTCTGCACTTTGCTGTAGTCTTTTAATTCTTTCCCCTCCTAGTTGTCTTACACAGCATTACTCCCAGAACATAAACCCCAAAACTCAGAGAGATTTCCAACACCAAATACCACTTGCCAGAACCTGACAGTAGTCTGGGGCAGGGCAATATAGGTGAGCATAGCACTTCAGGGGGCAGGGGAGGAAGGACTTCTCTAACACCAATTGTCATGACCTAGGCCAGTGATTTTCAACCTGTGGGCCACAAGAATTTTTAAAACATGCAATACCTGACTATTTAATCAAGAGCCCTTAGCCTGTCAAATAAAAAAGTGACAACAGCCAACACAATAGCCATCCAGTGTGAGTATACCAAAATTATATCTATTTTTGTCAGATTGGCAAAAAATACAATATATTTATTTTTTGGGTGTGCAGTAGAATTTTAATAATTAGTTTCTACATGCCATGAGATGAAAAGGTTAACTATCGCTGACCTAAGGGATTAGCCATCAGCTAGAAGATCACAGCAGGTGGCGAGGAGGCACAGGCCAGGCACAAGCATTTGTCCTTCCACAGGGAATTTATGAGTATTTCTTGGCAAAGGTAGAGAGAGGAAATGTTACATCCAGAGAGAAGAAACTACATGGTGAAGGGTGGAAGTAGAAAGCAGTGAAGTACCTGAGAAGAGTTACTAGATTTTCTCTCTGCAGCACGAATTTTAAAGGACCTTTACATCAAGTTGACTCAAGGTAGAGACTATGAAGGAGGTTTAGTGGTACGTATGGTGCATCATAGGGGGAAGGGAAGCGGTGAGGCTGGATAAGGAGAACATACTTTCTAGTCACCACACCAAGTGTCCATTTTGCCTCATCCTTTCAAATGTAGTTAATGTTCTCCTGATCTGCAGCACACATCCCAGTTGTCATTTGCAGGTGCTTAAAGACTCACACTATTTCCCTGCAATTGCTACTGGCCCTGCTCAGAATGGCCACAGCCCTTGCCCCTCTCTCCCTGTTCATATATCCCTTTCCCATTGCTCTTGGCTTCTCTGTCTGCCTTTTAGATTGGTAACCAGTTCAGATTCACTCTGGTATTTAGACCCATTCCTGCTCACACTCTTGGTGTTGGGTCACTGACACCTCAGGTAATACTCCTTTTAACAGCTCTAGACCAGAAAACCTCAATCACACAGCTCCCAGTGTGCCTTGGTCAGGTGAGTGGGATTCAGGCAGAGGGAGAAAATGATAACACAATATCCATTCTTATTCAGTGGGTTCCCTCAAAATAGGTCATTTCTAAGATTCCAGGTCTGAGGTCTTTCTTGATGAGTCTCTGTATAATTCAAAAAACTGAAGAAATGACTTAATATTGTTTTTTTTCAACTATGTTCATCATGCAAACATAAAGATGTACCCCAGCCTACATATGGATGCAAATCTTTTTCAACTGTTAACTGTGTCTCAAAATGTAGCTTGTCCCCTTAGACTGTACAACCCATGAAGAATTTTTATCTCCAGCCCTCTGAAAGGCATAGGGTTGGCCTCTACAAATTACAGAATTTTCATTGGGAAACATAAAATCCTCTTAAATGTATTCAGTTTGAGCATCTAGAACACCTATCCAATCTGGCTCTAAAATAAATTGCCTTATTTTAGAGCCAGATGGAAAGGTTTCAGATGATTCAGGTTCTGCAGCTTCTCTGTTTTAACACCCTGTTGGGGATCCATATTCTTATTTATATTCTCATACTCATCTAGGTACATCCACCCAAGAATTAACAGATACCTTGTAGCCTGCAAACAATGATTCCACTTGCTTCATCACTGTCAACAAGCAGTTCTGCCATGGAAATGCAGAGAACAGGTTCTGACTCAGTCACAGAACTTAACTCTCATGATCCTGTTCCCACACCAGGTAGAGGCTTTGGGGAGAACCAGTCTCCAACATCAGTAAGGCAGCCTATATCCATCTGTGACTCAAATTAAGTGGTTGCCATAGTAGACACAATCTAAGACTATCACAGACTTTATGGAGAATTTTGCCCATGGATATGTTCTGTCTGGTCATCACAATGTCCAATTTGATTATTAATGTAAATGGATTTAGGTCACAAGCTCTCAAATTTATGATAAACTCCTTCTTCACATTAATTGACCACCAAAGGCATTTAATCTCACACAAGAGAAAGGAAAGCTCGGGGTCATAAGCATTGATGGTATTTCAGATCCTCAAGTTCAGAATAGAATATTAATTTTTATTCAGCCCCCAAATTTAAATATTGGAAATAAATAAAAGCTATAATTCTGGTGGCATGTTGCAGGAGCACATATTATTTTCAGACAGAGAATAGAAAATAAGATCTAGCAAAACATCTTAGGCCTGAAACAAAGTAAGAACAGAGAAGTGAGTCAATGTTGATAAGCCAACAGTAATATCTGTGTTTTCAGGTTAACACAGGAGGGGATGTGCCTGAGGTCAGAGCTATCACAAACAATTAAGTCAGGCAGAAATTGGAGAAAAGAGGCCCAAACATGTTTTAATTTGATCTTTCATGCTCAAAATATGGGATATAATTTTTCACTGATAACAGGCAACCAAACATACCATTATACTGTTTTCTGGTTAAAGTAAGAGATAATAGAGGCGAGATGATTAATGGAATTCTAGATAACATTTATCTCAACTTTTAATGTTCATCTAACAGCAACAGTAACTAATTCTGAGTATCTCATATGGTATTTAGTATTTATATTGGATATAAACCTGCACATAATAAAGAGCAAAATAACTTTATCTATATAACATCCACAGTTGAATTACATAGATGTATATTTCATTTTATTTTATTTTGACAGCTTTTTACTGAATTTATTGGGGTGACATTGGTTCACAAAACCATACAGTTTTCCAGTGTACAAGTCAACAAAACATCTTCTGTATGCATACTGCATTGTGGACCTGCTGCCCCAAAGTCTCTTTCCCTCCCCATCCCCCCAACTTTGCCCACCACTGCCTATTCCCCCTTTCCCTCTGGCTATCACCACACTGTTGTCTGTGTCTATGGGAGACAGATAGATATATATATCATAGACATGTGTACATATATAATATGCATGTGTTTATATATAAATAATATGCATGTATGTTTCTATAAATCATATGCATGTGTTTGTATATAAATCATATACATATGTACATAAATATACATGTGTGTGTTTTATATGTATATGATTTTTTTGCTTAATTTCTTTACCTTCTTCCACCTGGCCCCCTACCCCACTTCACTCTGACAGCTGTTAGTCTGTATGCTACTGTTTCTATTTTGCTCAACTGTTTATTTTATTAATTAGATTCCACATATGAGTGAGATCATATGGCATTTTTCTTCTCTGTCTGACTTATTTCACTGAGCATAATAATCTCCAGGTCCATCTATGCTTTCACAAAAGGTAAGATTTTCTTTTTCTTTTTTCCTTCTTCTTCTTTTTTAGCCAAATAGTATCCCATTGTGTAAATGTACCACAGCTACTTTATCCACTCATTTACTTATGGGCACTAGGCCTGTTTCCAGATCTTGGCAACTGTGAATAATGCTGCAATGAACATAGGAGTGCATATATTCTTTCAAATTGGTGTTTTGGGTTTCTTCAGATATATTCCCAGAAGTGGAATTACTGGGTCATAAAGCAGTTCCATTTTTAATTTTTTGAGGAAAGTCCATACTGTTCCACCTGGCTGCCCCAATCTGCATTCCCACCAACAGTGCATTAGGGTTCTATTTTCTCCACATCCTCACCAGCACTTGTTGTTTGTTGATTTACTGATGGCAGCCCTTCTGACAGGTAGCCCTTCTGACAGGATTGAGGTGATATCTCATTGTAGTTTTAATTTGTAACTCTCAAATGATTAGTGACATTAAGTATTTTTTCATGTGTCTATTGGTCATGTATATGTCTTCTTTGGAGACATGTCTGTATAGGCCCTTTGTCCATTTTTTAAATTGGATTGTTTGTCTTCCTGGTGTTGAGAACTTATGTAAACATAAGTTATTTAATATGTTCTTTATATATTCTTTACATATAAAATTCTTTATATATTTTGCATAAGTTCTTTATATATTTTGGAAATTAACCCTTTATCAGATGTATCATTGGCAAATATGTTCACCCACTCAGTGGGTTCCTTTTTCATTTTGTTGATGGTTCCTACTACTGTGCAAAACTCTTTTTAGTTTGATGTAGCCCAATTTGTTATTTTTTTCCCTTTGTTTCCTTTACCTGAGGAGGTATTTCTGTAAAAATATTGCTATGATAAATGTCTGAAATTTTACTGCCCATATTTTCTTCTATGATTTTTATAGTTTCATGGCTTATACTTAAGTCTCTAATCTATTTTGTGTTTATTCTAGTGTATGGTGTAAGGAGGTGGTCTAGTTTCATTTTTTTGGATGTATCTGTCCAATTTTCCCTACACCATTTATTGAAGAGACTGCCTTTACTCCATTGTATGTTCTTGCCTCCTTTTTCAAATATTAATTGACCATAAATGCATGGGTTTATTGATGTGTATTTTAAGATTCACTCTATAGTGTAGATATTTTGGTAGCATGCAGAGAACCAAGAGTTTTAAGGAAAAAATCGAATTAATTGAAGTGCTTTTTATATGTCATTTGGGAAAGAATGACTGGCTTAAAAATAAAATTTCAAACATTAAATCTGGACTTTTTAGAATTATATGCAGAATCTGAATTGAATATTTTCTGGAATCACACTACTTAGAATATGAATAGTTGTTTATATACATTATCTCACTTTATCTTGAAAACAAAATAACAATTTATGTTTTATTAGTATGTACTTAATGGAAGAAAATCAAGCAAATGTATAACCAATAAGTTGCAGAGTTTGGAATATTGGAGACATATCTAGGCATTTTGGAGACAATTGCTATAATCTAGCAAAGCACTCATTCATAAATAGTTTTATCTCTACTCTAAATCAACTAATGATTAGATTTGGAGCTGTTTCTGAATTAAGACCTTGACAATAACCTGTCGAATCTTCTGAGTCTTCACACTGTAGATGATAGGGTTGAGCACAGGTGGGATGAGCAGGAAGATATTGGCCATGATGGTGTGGACAAATGGAGGTGCTGAATGGCCATAGCGATGAATAAGAGACAAGCTGATGAGTGGGATGTAGAAGATGGCAACAGCACTGATGTGGGATATGCAGGTGCTGAAGGCCTTCTGCCGCCCCTCTGAGGAAGCAATGTTGAGGACAGATCGGATGATCAGGACATAGGAGAGCAAAATGCAAGGGCAGTCAAATCCTGTCGTAGAGAAGAGTGCAAACAGGCCAAGGATGCTATTGACTCTGTTGTCTGTGCATGAGAGCTGAATGAGATCAACATGGTAGCAGTAAGAATGTGAAAGGACCATGGAACTGCAAAAGGACAGCTTCTTGACAAAAAGCACAACAGGCAACATGACAGCAACATTCCTTATCAACAGGATCACCCCAATCTGAACAATCCTGGCATTGGTGAGAATGGTTTGGTATCTTAGTGGGTCACAGATGGCCACAAAACGATCAAAGGCCATGGCCAGCAGAACCCCAGACTCCATGAAAGTAAATGAATGGAGAAAGAACATCTGGGCAATGCAGGCATTTAAGTTGATCTCTCGAGCTTCAAACCAAAAGACACCAAGGGTGGTAGAAAGTGTGCAGAGGGACAAGCTCAGGTCTGTGGCTGACAGCATAGAGAGGAAATAATACATGGGCTCATGGAGGCTCTGTTCACGAAGGACCACAAACAGGATCATGCTGTTCCCAGACAGGGCGATGACATACAGGAGACAAAAAGGGATGGAGATCCAGTTCTGGGCTGCTCTCAAGCCTGGGATACCCATCAAGAGGAAGGTGAAAGGCTGAGTATTGGTATTGTTGACAGCCAACATAATGAGGGACTGAGAAGACAGGGGTGTTTGAATAATTGAACATTATACATAATGAATATATAGATTATCAAAAAAAAAAAAAAAGAAAAGCCCTGGCTGGTGTAGCTCAGTGGATTGAGCACAGGCTGGGAACCAAAGTGTCCCAGGTTTGATTCCCAACCAGGGTACATTCCTGGGTTGCAGGCCATAACCCCCAGCAACCACACATTGATGTCTCTTTCTCTCTCTCTCTCTCTCTCTCTCTCTCTCTCTCTCTCTCTCTCTCTCTCTCTCCCTCCCTTCCCTCTCTAAAATGAATAAATTAAAAAAATCTTTAAAAAAAAAGACACTTAAAAAAAATAGATTATCACTTAGAACATCTTTGTGGCACTCTGAGACTCACTGAATTACCATTGCTGATAGTAAGTTTCCTTCCTAGGCTCTCAGTATTTCTCATTTGTTGAGATGAAAGAATAACCTGAATTATATCACATGAAAGTTTCATAAGACTGTAATTCTCTTTTGTGGAAACAAACATCACAATAAAATTATACCTAACTATAAAAGTTCCCAGTAGACTACGTAAATAATATGATGAGAAATCTGGTTTCCAGTATTTTTAAAAATAAACTTAATCTTATAATAAAGCACCAAAAAAATCAAGTCACATTTGAAATGTAGATATTATTAGGTTTTCTTGGGGTATGTCTGGGAGAATGCTAAAGACATCCCCAAGACACACATGTTTATATCTGTAATAACAGAGTAATCCAAAGAGCTACCCTAAGAATAAATATAGCTCCCATGTATTGAGAGTGCCCTGTGTTATTGACATTTATATGCATTATAAAATTTTACTTATATACCAACTCTAGGAGGTAGGAAGTAGTGTATATGTTTTGCACATGAAGAAGCTAAGACTAAACAATTATATAATCCTCCAAGGTTAACTCTGTAAAGCACTGCCTAATGGTTGAGAGAAACTGCATATTTAACAAAAATGGCAGAAAGAAAAAAGAAAAGAGTGGAAGGAAAGGAGGGAAAAAGAAAGGAAAGGAGAAATTGAGGCAGAAAGGTAAATCTTGCCATTATTTTAACATGTATGACCTCAATGTCTTCATTCAATAAGGCTGAGGAATGCATAGGAGGAATCTCTATACCAGTCTGTCAAATATCCCTAACAGGCAGTTTCAAGATTTATCTTTTAGAGGCACATTGTATTCAATGGGGCATCTTTTGAGTCAAGTACTAAATTTCAGATGTTAATTCCACATATATTGTACAAATATGAGGAAGCTCTTTAGGCTTTTCAGGAGAAAAAATCTCACTGATAGTCTCTGTGCAAAGGACCCAGGGAATCAGGCCACACCCAGTTATGGAAAGCAACACCAACCTAGAACTCCCAAGTTCAGGTGACCCATTTATCCAACACTTACACTAATTGTGATACTGATGATATTTTCTTTCTAAAAATTTTCTCTTCCAAAGTATTGTATGGCACTGTCTCTACTATTTTTATCCCACCATCCATCAGTTTATTTTTATGGCTTAATTTTGTCCCCAAGAACCTTAAATATGAAATTCTTTAAGGATCTGCCCTTTATCCATTCTTAAGACATTTAAATAATTATCTAGCCAATTTTCATAGTTTTATCTTTCACCTATTTAATGACAAAATCCAAAAAAAATATCTAAAACCCATCTCTGGTTTCCAGGTTCCTGAAGTCAGACCTTCTTTCTTGGATTTCTCATAGATAAATCAAATTCAATGTTGTTCAAAACCAAATTGATCATTTCCCCTTTTATTTGTCCTTATTACTATATATTCTATATAAAGCTTATAATTTTCAAAAAATTAACCAATTATCTAAGTGAAAGCTCTAGAAAGTTTGTTTTTATGTTTTTAAAGGTCACCATTCCCAATCAATTACCACATCATTTCTATTCAGTTTCTAATATCTCTCTTTCTTATTCTACCTTTTCTTATTTAAACAAAAAAAAATCTCTTTCAGATGTCTACACTGAATAACCGGGACTATTAAATTGACCTACATATAATAATAATTTATTATAAATATAATATAACAATGGCTACAAAGCAATAATAACAACATCCATTTATTGAACAACTTCTCTTTGTCAGAAAATATCAGTGAGAAAAACAACCTATTAAACTAAATAAAAATGATGAAATCACATATCCAAACTTGTGGGGCAGGACACTGAAGTGTAATGTATAGCCTGAAGAATAGACATTTATCAGAAACCAAAGATTTGAAATATTACTTTTTTTAAGTTTCCAATATACAATGCTATAAAATATTTAAATAAATGTCAAAAGAGGCAATTAACAAAAAAAGCAAAAATAAATTAGTTAGCAGTAAAACTAAAGATTATTTGTAAGAAAATATGTGAACTTTTTTTAAGTGATCAAGAAAACTTTTTAAAAAGTATGATTAATTGCATAATAATTTTTAAGCTGAGAAATAAAACTTTAAATATAATGAAATGGATGCATAAATATAACATTATATTTGATAATAGATATAAAACAGATAAGTTTATAGGAAAATCTCAATCCCCAAACTAGCCCAAGAAATTAAATTCAGCAGAGAAAAAATGACAATGACAGAAAAGATTTCACCAATAACCAAACCTGAAGAATAAAAATATACAGTATTTCTTCTATTTTTTACAAATTATAGTATAGCAGAAAGAGAATATCCCTCCACCACCCAAGGCAATACCTGAAGAGTTTATGTTGTCACAACTCAGGAAGAAACCCTACTGGCATCTACTGTATGGACACCAGGAATGCTTACATCCTACAATGCACAAAACAACCAAAAATAATTCAGCCTAAAGTGTCACTAGGGCTGAAGTTGAGAAATGCTATTTTAGAGCATATAAAAACATAAAAAGATGAGAAGTCATTCATCTAATTAGTTATTGATAGCATATGCAAACATTACAAATAACATTTTAGCAAGTCACATGTAACTGTGCTCTTAAAGAATATTGCACTTTGACACAGTAGACTTTATCTTATGAATGAAAAAATAGTCAACTTAACAAATCTATCAATGGTATGACTATGTTACTAGATTCAAAAAGATGTGTTTTAACAGGAGAAATAAAAAGTCAGAAAATGTAATGGCAATTCATAGTCAAATTTTTAATATTCAGAAAGAAAATTAGTTCCTTGTTGCGCGTGGGTCACCGGCCAGCAGTGATCACAGAACGCTGTGGATGGCTCGACAATAAACACGCGAGAAAAAACACACATGCACAGAGACAGACTAGTTTCTGTGGGGAAGTAGGGATGAAATGGCCACTCCCCCTAGTGGGGAGCGTGCAGATTTACCATACATACCTGCTTTTACTGGGCTCATTCTGCATAATAATTCAGGTAAAGTACAGTACTCATTAGGGGGAAGTAAGGAACCATAGAAAACAAAGAACTCTGCCAGTCTATTGAGTTGGGGGTCAAAGAGCTGTAAGACTGAGGAACAAAATAACTTCCTCCTAAGACCCTTCTCATTCAACTGAGAGCATTCTAAACAAAGAAGCTTTCACAGTAATTTACATGTTCTTTCTTAGGCCTGATCACCCCGGGGAATCCGCACTTCTCAGTACAGAGCTGCACCACCCTGTCATTGTTTCAGGCTTAGGTGGAGCAAGTGAACTAAGGCAACTGGGAGACAAGGAGGTTTTTTCCCCAGATGCTGAGAACTCAGGCTATGTCAAAGCCGAGGAGCGAGGGTCCATCACCCCCCTTTTGCTGCAGCCCCCCAAGTCCTTCTTTTGGGGGGGGCCTCCCAAAGTGATCGTGCCTGTCTTAGGTCGTTCCCCCCGTGGGGAATCTTACCCATCTTTGGCTAACCGACCAAGCTTTTGGGGGTTCAGTCATGAATAAAGTAGCAGAAGCAGCATTCCTGCCAGGAAGATAACCTTTGGCTCCTTGCTGGCTTACAGTTCCAAGGGCATTCCCTTAGCCTTAGCCTAGGCGGGGGTTTCAGCTCCTGATACCAGTCAGGGCGGTTCCCAACAGTTCCTAAATAAAAGCTATCTTCCAAAAATGTGGAGCAAACACTTTTACTGGTGACCTATTAAAAGAATCTCTATTAAAATCAGTGACAAGATAAGAATACCTAGTATTGCAACTATTAGTCAACAATTTATGGAACAGTCTCAGTAGATGCAAAAAGAAAGCCAAATAAAAGGAGTTAGTGTTACTTTTATAAAAATGTTTTTTAGACTTTAATTGATTTTTACCTGAAAAATCCAAGAAAATAGATTGCAAGCTCTTAAAATAGACTCTACAAAAGTCACTAGATAGACAATCTGTATCCCAAATTAGTAGCTATTCCTGTTCACAGAAATTAGCCACTGAGGAAACTTTATAAAAATAAACATTTATTTCAATAGCCCACAAAATTATAAAAAAGGGATTGGTATAACAAAAGTTTGTGTTTGCAACCCAGAGGATGAACAACAATAGGGGCATTGGCTTGGGATGGGACTGGGTAGAGGTGGGGAAAGGGAGAAAAACTGGGAACAGCTGTAACAGCATAAACAATAAAAATAAAACTAAAAAATAAAAAGTTTGTGTTTGGCAGGAAGAGGGGAGGTCTATAAAAATTTACTGCTGGGCATAAAGTCCTTTATTCCTTTTGTGAAAATAAGAACATTCAACAGTGAAAAATGTAAACTTTCCCATTAGCACTCACATAAATTTAAAGCATTATCAACCAATAACACAAACGAGTTTTTAATGAATAGTGACAGATGGATCTTAAAATCTATTAAAATGTGCAATATATTCAGTATAATACTGAAAACAATAGGTGATGTCCTTTGATAATAAAATGTAGTATAAAGCTATTATAATTAATAAAATATAATAGTCAAAGGTTTAAAAAACATATCCCCAGAAAAGAGCAGTTTCCCAAAAGAAAATGTGTGAGGATAAAAAATATGATCATATGGCATCTTACATTACAAAAAGAAACTGGTATGTC